AAATCTGAACACCGATTTTTTAGTCGAAGTTCATGTCCAAATCTTACCCCAAGATTCGTATATAGACATGGGTCAAAAATTACCACCCCCATATCTCGGCCAAATCTCATCCGATTTTCATGAAGTTTGGCTTTTTCTTCATGGGTTTCCCTCTAGATTAATCTGGCATTTAAATCTGAACACCGATTTTTTAGACGAAATTCATGTCCAAATCTTACCCCAAGATTCGTATCTAGACATGGGTCAAAAATTACCACCCCCATAACTCGGTCAAATCTCATCCGATTTTCATGAAGTTTGGCGTTTTCTTCATGATTTTCCCTCTAGATTAATCTAGCATTCAAATCTGAACACCGATTTTTTAGTCGAAGTTCATGTCCAAATCTTACCCCAAGATTCGTATATAGACATGGGTCAAAAATTACCACCCCCATATCTCGGCCAAATCTCATCCGATTTTCATGAAGTTTGGCTTTTTCTTCATGGGTTTCCCTCTAGATTAATCTGGCATTTAAATCTGAACACCGATTTTTTAGACGAAATTCATGTCCAAATCTTACCCCAAGATTCGTATCTAGACAAGGGTCAAAAATTACCACCCCCATAACTCGGTCAAATCTCATCCGATTTTCATGAAGTTTGGCTTTTTCTTCATGGTTTTCCCTCTAGATTAATCTGGCATTCAAATCTGAACAGCGATTTTTTAGTCGAAATTCATGTCCAAATCTTACCCCAAGATTCGTATCTAGACATGGGTCAAAAATTACCACCCCCATAACTCGGTCAAATCTCATCCGATTTTCATGAAGTTTGGCGTTTTCTTCATGGTTTTCCCTCTAGATTAATCTAGCATTCAAATCTGAACACCGATTTTTTAGTCGAAGTTCATGTCCAAATCTTACCCCAAGATTCGTATATAGACATGGGTCAAAAATTACCACCCCCATATCTCGGCCAAATCTCATCCGATTTTCATGAAGTTTGGCTTTTTCTTCATGGGTTTCCCTCTAGATTAATCTGGCATTCAAATCTGAACACCGATTTTTTAGTCGAAAGTCATGTCCAAATCTTACCCCAAAATTCGTATATAGACATGGGTCAAAAATTACCACCCCCATAACTCGGTCAAATCTCATCCGATTTTCATGAAGTTTGGCTTTTTCTTCATGGGTTTCCCTCTAGATTAATCTAGCATTTAAATCTGAACACCGATTTTTTAGTCGAAATTCATGTCCAAATCTTACCCCAAGATTCGTATCTAGACATGGGTCAAAAATTACCACCCCCATAACTCGGTCAAATCTCATCCGATTTTCGTGAAGTTTGGCTTTTTCTTCATGGTTTTCCCTCTAGATTAATCTGGCATTCAAATCTGAACAGCGATTTTTTATTCGAAATTCATGTCCAAATCTTACCCCAAGATTCGTATCTAGACATGGATCAAAAATTACCACCCCCATAACTAGGTCAAATCTCATCCGATTTTCATGAAGTTTGGCGTTTTCTTCATGGGTTTCCCTCTAGATTAATCTGGCATTCAAATCTGAACACCGAGTATTTAGTCGAAATTCATGTCCAAATCTTACCCCAAGATTCGTATATAGACATGGGTCAAAATTTACCACCCCCATATCTCGGCCAAATCTCATCAGATTTTCATGAAGTTTGGCGTTTTCTTCATGGGTTTCCCTCTAGATTAATCTGGCATTCAAATCTGAACACCGAGTATTTAGTCGAAATTCATGTCCAAATCTTACCCCAAGAATCGTATATAGACATGGATCAAAAATTACCACCCCCATAACTCGGTCAAATCTCATCCGATTTTCATGAAGTTTGGCTTTTTCTTCATGGGTTTCCCTCTAGATTAATCTGGCATATAAATCTGAACACCGATTTTTTAGTCGAAATTCATGTCCAAATCTTACCCCAAGATTCGTATATAGACATGGGTCAAAATTTACCACCCCCATATCTCGGCCAAATCTCATCCGATTTTCATGAAGTTTGGCTTTTTCTTCATGGTTTTCCCTCTAGATTAATCTGGCTTTCAAATCTGAACAGCGATTTTTTAGTCGAAATTCATGTCCAAATCTTACCCCAAGATTCGTATATAGACATGGGTCAAAATTTACCACCCCCATATCTCGGCCAAATCTCATCCGATTTTCATGAAGTTTGGCGTTTTCTTCATGGGTTTCCCTCTAGATTAATCTGGCATTCAAATCTGAACACCGAGTATTTAGTCGAAATTCATGTCCAAATCTTACCCCAAGATTCGTATCTAGACATGGGTCAAAATTTACCACCCCCATATCTCGGCCAAATCTCATCCGATTTTCATGAAGTTTGGCTTTTTCTTCATGGGTTTCCCTCTAGATTAATCTGGCATTCAAATCTGAACACCGATTTTTTAGTCGAAATTCATGTCCAAATCTTACCCCAAGATTCGTATATAGACATGGGTCAAAATTTACCACCCCCATATCTCGGCCAAATCTCATCCGATTTTCATGAAGTTTGGCTTTTTCTTCATGGTTTTCCCTCTAGATTAATCTGGCTTTCAAATCTGAACAGCGATTTTTTAGTCGAAATTCATGTCCAAATCTTACCCCAAGATTCGTATATAGACATGGGTCAAAATTTACCACCCCCATATCTCGGCCAAATCTCATCCGATTTTCATGAAGTTTGGCTTTTTCTTCATGGTTTTCCCTCTAGATTAATCTGGCATTTAAATCTGAACACCGATTTTTTAGTCGAAATTCATGTCCAAATCTTACCCCAAGATTCGTATCTAGACATGGGTCAAAAATTACCACCCCCATATCTCGGCCAAATCTCATCCGATTTTCATGAAGTTTGGCGTTTTCTTCATGGGTTTCCCTCTAGATTAATCTGGCATTCAAATCTGAACAGCGATTTTTTAGTCGAAATTCATGTCCAAATCTTACCCCAAGATTCGTATCTAGACATGGGTCAAAAATTACCACCCCCATAACTCGGTCAAATCTCATCCGATTTTCATGAAGTTTGGCTTTTTCTTCATGGTTTTCCCTCTAGATTAATCTGGCATTCAAACCTGAACAGCGATTTTTTAGTCGAAATTCATGTCCAAATCTTACCCCAAGATTCGTATGTAGACATGGGTCAAAATTTACCACCCACATATCTCGGCCAAATCTCATCCGATTTTCATGAAGTTTGGCTTTTTCTTCATGGTTTTCCCTCTAGATTTATCTGGCAGTCAAATCTGAACAGCGTTTTTTTAGTCGAAATTCATGTCCAAATCTTACCCCAAGATTCGTATATAGACATGGGTCAATATTTACCACCCCCATATCTCGGCCAAATCTCATCCGATTTTCATGAAGTTTGGCTTTTTCTTCATGGTTTTCCCTCTAGATTAATCTGGCATTCAAATCTGAACATCGATTTTTAGACGAAATTCATGTCCAAATCTTACCCCAAGATTCGTATATAGACATGGGTCAAAAATTACCACCCCCATAACTCGGTCAAATCTCATCCGATTTTCATGAAGTTTGGCTTTTTCTTCATGGGTTTCTCTCTAGATTAATCTGGCATTCAAACCTGAACAGCGATTTTTTAGTCGAAATTCATGTCCAAATCTTACCCCAAGATTCGTATGTAGACATGAGTCAAAATTTACCACCCACATATCTCGGCCAAATCTCATCCGATTTTCATGAAGTTTGGCTTTTTCTTCATGGTTTTCCCTCTAGATTTATCTGGCAGTCAAATCTGAACAGCGTTTTTTTAGTCGAAATTCATGTCCAAATCTTACCCCAAGATTCGTATATAGACATGGGTCAATATTTACCACCCCCATATCTCGGCCAAATCTCATCCGATTTTCATGAAGTTTGGCTTTTTCTTCATGGTTTTCCCTCTAGATTAATCTGGCATTCAAATCTGAACATCGATTTTTAGACGAAATTCATGTCCAAATCTTACCCCAAGATTCGTATATAGACATGGGTCAAAAATTACCACCCCCATAACTCGGTCAAATCTCATCCGATTTTCATGAAGTTTGGCATTTTCTTCATGGGTTTCCCTCTAGATTAATCTGGCATTTAAATCTGAACAGTGATTTTTAGTCGAAATTCATGTCCAAATCTTACCCCAAGATTCGTATCTAGACATGGGTCAAAAATTACCACCCCAATATCTCGGCCAAATTTTGGATGTAGGTGCTCCTAGCTCCCGCGCAGATCGAGTTTGTTTCCGATAATCGATAACTTACTCCGTTTCCAAGCAATCGATAAAAATCGGTATAGATATCCTGTTTTTTGGGCAATTTTGGTAAATTATAAGAGCTAGAGTCACCAAACTTGACATATAGCTTCTAAAATAGAATATATATATGCATTTGATGTTGGAAGAAGAGGGTTCAGGGTATTCCCTAGTCGGGAGCTCCCGACTAGAACCTCTTACTTGTTTTAGACTGAAACTTAATATTATTCTGCCTTCCTCAATTTTGGGGCTTATAGCTTGTTGCTGTTGGTTGTTATAGCCATATATTTAGTTTGTACTAAAACCGGAGCGACTTGCTACTTAATCTCAAAAAATTTACTCGATAAATTCTTTTTCCTTCAATTAAACTGGGGCTCACTGAATTTAATGGAAATTGACTTGCAGAGCTGACAGGTTCGTTTAAAAAGAAAAATGTACGTAATTTCGCCCTAAAACAACTTTTAGTCTACTCTAGCTTATGGCTCTATAATTTTCTGTATTAATATATTATATGAAAAGGTCGCGTCAAGTCCTATCGCGCACATGTATAATAATATTGAGCCGAAGGGCTCACCTGGTAACCCTTACCCATTTGATGTACACACAACAACAATAGTAGAGACAATCAGTGGAAATTAAATGGAATTACTTATTTGACATGCCTGCAAGGGTATTTAATCTTCCGTACGTCAAAATTAACTGCCCTTGCTCTTACCCCCCGGCAATTTGCGTCTACTTACATCAATTTCGGCTCCCTCGATGGTGGAATTACGAAATGGGGGATTGCGTCCGTTTATGAACTCGAAAAATTTGCCCTTCTCAACCTTCAGCCATGTCACCTGCAATCAAACAAATACATTTGGCCATATTAAAATATTGTTACGTAACAGTTTTGTTGTTGCCACGCTGATTGTGACATTGATTGAGTAACTGCGTCAATTTGAATGCGAGCCGCCGGATCGGTTCATGACTGCCGCAGTTAATAATCCAGAGTCAGTAATTTGATGGAAAAAAATGAGAGAGAAAAAAATTGAAAACGGAAAACGATAAAGTATAAAACAAATGCAATGCAATTAAACTTTGCAACAAGTTGCACGAATTTGTTGCAAGGACAATTAAAATGCGCGTTAAGCTGTAAAACTGTAAATAATTGAATGTTTTATTGAAATGCCACAGGCAAATGTCAAACGGTCAGCATGAGGGGGGGAGGAACTGTCATGTACATGTTTGCCCACGTCGTCCTGGGGGGTGGGGTGCGGGGGGCGTGGTGAGTGCGTTATTTCAAACGAGGCTTGAGAAGGCAACATAAACGCTCGAATATGACTGAAAAAGTTACGCGCCAGTGCAAGAGGGACTTGGCAGCAAAAGCAAATATGAAAACATAATGTAAATGAAAATAAATTTCCATTTGCAACTTGCGACTGTGGAAAAGTTGTTAGTTTTGGGGTGGGCGGCAGAGCGCGAGACAACCCTTGAGGTCCCGGAAGTGAAAAATAAAACGGCGCTTGCCAACAGCTTTTAATTACGCACAATATTTATTTATTGCACTTTATGCGACACACTTTGGCAGCTAAATTAAAATGTACTCGTAATTTATTTAAGAGTTCTGTTTATATTAAATGTCACGCTCGACGGGGCGTGGGCGTGGGCGTGAGGCAAATTGGTTGATTGACATGCTTCACAGCGAATTGCATTGATTGCATGCAACTTAATAATATTAATGTCCCTATTGAAAGTGCCTGCGGCGAACGCAGCGTATACGCAATTTGGGCCGCAAATGTCGTCATTACTCACGCATGTGTTCTCTGTCAGAGCAATCGATAAGGCACACACGCTCCTGGTACACAGTGTCCCGTTTTGGGCGGTCAAAGCAAACATCAACATGCAACCGCTGAACCATTCGACAGCACATAAGCACGTTTGAGCGCCCTCTCCATGTGCCCATCAAATTTGATCAGCCACTTGTGGAAATTTTTGAAACAATTTCTCTTGATATGACATGAACTTTTCGGAGCCACGGTCACAGTCATAATAATAATAGCAGTGTGCATATCGCAAAGTAATCAAACGGCGACAGTATCTGGCTGTGGATACGGGGCACATGGCCAGGTCCCGGTCCCTGCAGAGAGCGTTGTGCTCCTGGCCCATTGTTTTGTATTTTTGTTGTTTAGCCAGGCATGAGTTTGGCATGTGTTGGCTTTGGCGTGTCCGCTAAGCCATGGTCTGACTTTGTGCATATTTTGTTTGTGTTTATTAGCCCGCTTCTTCTTTTTTTTTTTTTGGTACTCAGCCGGCAAATCAAAAGCTGAATTACGTGGTCGGGTCTGAGCCGGCCCCGTTGGCCCAGCCTGCCGTTCGCAGCGTAATTAGTTTATTTCATTTATTTTTTCGCGCTGCTTTTGTATACCCAAAAGTATGCTTCAGCATGTGAAAACCATTCGACGCAGCCGACTTCAATTCCATGGTTAACCGTGTTCGCATTTGCGTTTTAATTGCCTTTTTAGTGCCACTTCCACACAATTTGCCACGCTTCGTGCAACAATTCGAATCAAAACCGGCGGCATGGTGCCGAGTGTGCCAGCGCACTCGGTTATATAGTCAATTATACTAATTAGCCATTGCCAGGCGGTAGTAGCCGCAAAACGGCCAACTGGCCAAATAAAATAATGTCTACATGTAAACACGGCAAGTGCTGCGCTTATTTTATTTTTACCCCCAGCTAATTGTACCGCTGCAGGTATGCCGGAGGGCAAGTATACAGGTGTGCATATTAAATTTGTTAGCTGACACTAGGATGAAAATCAGAAAACGCCATCGGCGTGATAATTTACATAACATTTTCAACAACTATATAATAAAAAAGACAAACAATCAAAAGGCAATTACTAGCTAATTTCAATATTAAATTTCGACCAATATGAAGTACAAATACTATTGTTGGTTTCTGTTGATTTGATATTGTTTTTTTTTTCGAATTTCGAATTATCATTAAATGATTAATTCTATAACAAAATTTCTTGAGTCTGCTCGTTACTAAAACTATGTTCTGTGGAATTTCCAAGTGCTTGCACGTTTTTTATAAACAAACATACAAGCATGGAATTTAAAATATTCAGCTAAAAACAGAAACAACTTTAATTTATTTTCATTACAACGTCTTGTCAACTACTTTAAATATAAAACGCGTAAAGAAAATTAGAAAATAACGTTAAGGCACTTATAACTTAAAAATTTAGGGGAGAACCCGATCCATATAGAGCTAACTTTTACTAGCCCTTGTTTTTACTGTATGTAAGCTAAGTACAACTTTGAAAATCAATAATGATTTTAAGGAGTTTGCTTAATGCAACTTTTTTTTTGTCAATTCAACTATTCGAATAAAGCAAAGCGTTGCATTGGATGGTAAATTAATTTTTTTTCTAGCTAACACATTCATTAATTTTCACTCTGCCTGTAATACTGTAAATGTTCAGTTACGTTAGCTAATGATAATGACTAATGAAAAACCGTACATTAACAACCTGTGCTCCACACTTTCGTCTAAAATGCATTCTTGATTTCAAGGAAGTAACTGGGAACTGCTGCTGCCGCTTCTGCTGCCGAAAACAGGAGCAAAATCAATATGTTGTGCGCTTCTAAAACACTCAACTTTGTGGTATTTTTGCGCCATCAAAGTTGTACGCTTTTATGGTACTTAGAATGAACAAAACGACAAGCTCGCGCACAACCTCCATCTCCACATCGACCTCTACCCTAACATCCAGAGAAGTCGCTGCCGCTGCCGCAGCCGCAGGCGCTGGCTGTGGTGCTGCTTGTGCTTTTGCTTTTGCTTTTGCTTGGCCTTGAATTTGTATGCCACGATTTGTAGTGGCACAAAGTTCCAAACTAAACTAAAAGTATGCACGCTGACTAAGTCAGCTACACTCGGTTACCGCCTGGGTCACTGTGGCAGGAAAACTAAGCAGCTCATTTGCCATAAATTCAAAGGCGTCGCCTTTGGGGCCGTACGGCTGTGCGTGTCCCTTGATGTTTCGTGACAGTAATAAGAGAGTTGAAGTGAAATTAATTGTCGCAACTGTAACTGAAACTAAAGCTGAAACTGAAACTAAGGCGGAAGTGACAACGTCGGGGGCAATGAGGACACGATGAACCGCTCTTTGATTGCAACTTTTCACGACAATTGCTACAATTGCATTTCTGTCTGTGGCAGCACTAACAACATGCACTACCTGCAGCACCTGCCACTGATTGGGTAAGCTTCTGTCAACGCTATAAACTTGCCAGAGTAGCACAAAGTAGCACAAGGCAAACAAAGTTGCTTTGTCGTCGTGGTTGCCATTTCAATTTAAAGTTCTCATCGTGCCTGCCACATTCATCATGCAAACGCTGATATACTTGACGGTAAAGACAAAGACAAAGATAATAAATACACATTTGCTTGAGTTCAGTAAACTGCACTAAAGTCTTACCTTGAACAGTATTTCCGGTATCACATTGTGCTTGCATATCAATGTGGCGCTGGAGCCGCGCTCCACATACCTCGGCACCACCAATTGCACATCCACATCCGATTGTCCATCTGCCAAAAAAAAAATGAATATACATTTACTAAAGTTGTAACATGCATCTACGCTCAATTGCGGCTTTATTGAATGCCATTAAAATGCACAAGCGAAAGAAAAGGCAAACATTTCCAAATAATCCGTGTATTTGCTGCGAGAGCCATCGCCTTAATTGTCAGTTTATGGGGCGTAGCTCCTCCGACCCGACCACCAGCCGGTCCGATAAATTTTAATTTGTTTGCCAAAGTGCACATGAGATATTTTTCGCCTGCATTCGTGTACGGCATTCGACAGGCGGCGAGTGTCAAATATTTACGAGGGCATGCACCTGCACCTTTTCCACCTGGCTCACATTGACACGTGAAGTCCGCTGCGGCAATTTTCCGACATATTTTTTCCTGTGCCCAGCGGGGCAACAGCTCTTCAAGCCCTCTTGTTCAAAGTGCGAATACTTTTGAAATGAAAACTGCAGTTTTTTATCGCATGCGCGCAAAGTAGCTTAAAGGGTCAGCATATATTGATTAATATTAATTACTTTTGGCATTTCAGATAATTTATTATCAACGATTCGTTTCCAAACCGAATAAACAATGCATTTACATTTTTGAAAACTTTTACCATAAATTTCTCTTCTTCTTTGACCAACTGCGTTTACTTAATCAAATTGTCGGAATTAATTCATTAATTTATTCCATTTTTTGTATATGTTATTTAATTTGTAGGAATTTAATTTGCAGTTCACCTGAATTTGCTGTGAACTTAAACTCATACTGATTGATCAAAATATTTTTTTATGTGACTGACAAATTAAATTACGTGTAAATATACCCAACAGTTTAGTGGGAAAGTGCATTTAATAATTAAAATTTAGCTGTAAATAACATTTGCCATGGAAAACATGGAAATCCGAATGATAACAAACGCTCAACAATTAAATTTGGCTAAATAGTTGAGCGGATTTAATATTCTAGAGAGCTACGCATCGGGCAACAATTTGCAAATTGGACGATAGAAATCGATAAATGAATTGCCAATGTTGCAGCGAACAGTGTACGTCCAATCCCAATCATAATTAAGACACCAAATGGTAAAAAGCAAACACATTGCCCCATTTGCGGGGGCCTACAAAGTGGCGCCAATTTCATTTTCATTTATTCACACCACGCGGCTGTCGTCAGTCACGCAAAATGTCAACGACTGAGTAAGTAAAAAAGTGTCAGGCCGCGCGAAAAATATGGAAAAAGCGGAAAACAAGAAAACCAAATGAAATGAAGCACGTCAAGTGCATGACAGGCGAGTAGACGGACGGACGGACGGACAGGCAGGCGGCGGATAGGCTGGCAGGCAGCCCGTCAAACATGGTAACATCGTTGCCTTTCTGGTTGGCAACTTGTTGCAATATACAACGAACATGCCACGTTTTCATTGGTTTTGTGGCATTGCCCACAGCAGGACGTCTGTGTGTGTGTGTGTGTGAGTGTGTTTGTGTTCGTGCCACACGCTAACGAGCCGTAATTCACGAAAATTCAATCATGCCCAGCTGCCCAAGAATCGACAGCCAAGCCGCAGCCTCCAGCCATCAGACGGCACGCCTCACACCCGCCAGCCTTACACCCATTCATTGATGCTGCAGGGCCAAGGAGCAGACAGCCCTGACACGAACTCGAATCCGAATTGACGACTGACTTTTTGCCAGCGCCTGCCTTGATAATCCTGTCGAATATTGGCATTAATGTCGCCACACTCAACATCAATTTTCTATGAGAGCCGCCTTGGCAGCTGTCCAATACTTATTTAAAATTACAAAAAATGAACAGAATGGAAAAAGGAGGAAACTTCACGACACGTCCGTTGACAAGATGTTGACCAACCGCAATAATTGTTTTGCAGCCCGCCAGCAAAAGAAAATATTCATTACAGCAAATATTCCCAGCCGAACCCACAAGCCAAACCAAGCGTTTGGCCTGTTTCGGCTTGTTGCCTGTTTTGGGTGGCAAAAAAATGAGCTCACTTTGACAACGACGTCGGCAACGTTTTGTTGTACGTGGTGTACGTGTTTTACAAGCGGAAATTGATGATTTTCCACAAGTCGGGCGACAATAAAGCGTGCAGCGTGTCAGCAAAACGCAAATAATCAATCAATCAGCATTAATCAAGGCGGGAGTGGGCGTGGTATGCCTACATCAGTTGCAACTGTTGCCCAATGGGGGCTCCGTTTCAACAAGAACAACTACATCAACATTTCTGATATGGTGTGGAAATTGAAATTCTCAAACGGAAAATTAATTATAAATCCAACACATCATGCACCGCATCAGCGCACCTCTGAAATATCTGATAACCGAATTGAGATTCGGGCAATGCAATCCTTGAAATCCTATTATAACATTATCCTTTGTGGGCTGGTATCTGGTTGTTGTTTGAGATTAGGTACGCGTAGGCTGTTCCCTGATTAAGTGATGCCCTCGAGGGTCGAATAAGCAGCTGAGCTGCATATAGGATGCTCACCTGGATCGTTTAATTTCCTGCCTATTTCACACCCATTAATATTCTTATCACCTAATCTGCAATCCCTGACCTGAAGCTACACAACAGGAAATGCCTGATTTTCTTACCAAATCTGCTTGTGAGTGCTCTGCAGCTCTTGGTTGTTCTCCACACATCACAGCCCACATGTTTTTTTTCTAGATACCTGCAAGGTGGTTCGCCCCCTATAGCTGAGGTTGAACATTCACTTGATTAGCATCGAGTATTAAAAACTGTGGTTTTAAAACAATTGTATTACGACATCTTTATCCATGAACATATCGACCCGTTCCTGCGCCGTGAATATAATTTACTGCTATGCTTTTTGCATTGTCGAATAATTTTAGCTGGAAAAAATACCAGTTGGCGGGTATTTTGTGTGAGGGTAGCCAAGCATTGCGTATGTTGAGTAATTGCTCAACTTCCGACTTAAGTTAAGAACGGGCGGTTTTAAAAACGATTGCAAAATGTACGAAAGTTAACCCAAACAGAGCAGGATAAGCAATATTTACTGAAGAATTGAAGAAAGCCAAATTCCGTGGCAAGTAACACTACAGTGACTGCTAAATGGTTTATATACTTAAATTATTAGAAAACTAACTGAGAAAATAGAAACCTTTTTAATTTAATGAACAACATTTCTTCTGATAATTGCTTTGATTAGTTGAACAGCCATTTGAGATACGCTTCAATGAAAGAACCAAAAGCTAGTGATTGATTGTGCGGACTGAAGCAGACTTTTTTTGGCCAGAAACTGAACTGTTTACCTGTTGGCTGGTTAGGCACTAATTGCAATAGCATAAACAAATTATTGCAACAAAAACAAACAGAAAGAACAACAATGGCGGCCGTGTGCAGAGTGCGAATGGAAAACCATAAACAGCGTTTGCCGTTCGATTGTTCGATAATATTCATATTTTCAATTGATTGCTAAATCAATATTTGAACTTTGGCAGCTGTGCTCGGAGCTCGCAATCCGCCCGAGGAAGCAGACACACCGAAAATAACTACGACTTCTGGCAAGGAATATGGCAGATTACCAACGAGAGTTGTGGTCGATCGGTTGCTCGGTCGGTTGGTCGGTCGGTCAGTCGGTTTCTTGGTCTGTTTGTCCCTTGGTGGGTCTGTCCTTTGAGACGTGACACGCCCGTTACAGTTAGAACACAGAACGCAATTATGGCCCGCAAGTTGGAGTGGTAAGCTGGTAGGTGTCCTGTCAGCTGCCAGTTGTCCAGCTGCCAGTTGACCATGTTGAAGCTGACCAAACACACTGTTGCTTATCAATATAATGTTGAATCATTATGGTTGATTGGCAGACGAAAACAATATACACGCCCTTAACAACATGTCTTACTGGCAATATGCGCACATTCTACAGAAGTTCATTAGACACCAGCTATCCGGATGATTGACTGACGCACAGCCAGTTCTAGTATTAGTTTCTTTCAGTTACAAAATGAATTCTCTGTTCATTTTCTCAGTTACTTTTCAGTTTGAACATTGCGGCATATGGCAGGCAGCAAAGTGTGGCGCTTTAATAATGCCAATCACAATTTCTAATTGATTTGTTAACTATGCGGCTTTCAATTTATGATTATGCTTGACTGATATTTGGGAGATTGATCCAAACTATGCGACGGGGTTGTTGCGGCTTAAAAGAAACCACACGGCGACAAGCCAAGCCAAGCAAATGTTTTCAATACAACGCAAATACAACCCAACACACGCTCACGCGCACACACATGAAGGAACAACCAGAAAGAGGACAAAAGAACCTCATGCAGCTTTGCAGCTTGAGCGAGGAAAAGGATAAAGGCATAAGTCGTCATGTTGCCAAAGCATTCGTTCAGCAAATGTAGGCTTCTTTTGCCCGAAGAACAGAAACGTGAGGGGGACTTGAAATGGGACTGAGTTTGGGCTTGGGTTTGGGTTCGGGCGAAGGGTGGCCAGATAAAGGAAGGTCTGCAGGCAACGCCTCGGTGGCATAAAGTAATTTTATAGAACAAATCACAGGCATTAGTGGGTATAAATCCCGTTTATCCTTGCCTGTGTATGCGCGCGTGAAATTTAAATATGTAGCGGACACAGTGGGGAGACAGAGGCACAGGCACAGAGAGAGAAAGGAAATACAAGTATGGAGAACATGGAGACCAAGAAAAATGTTCGTCTTTGGCAAGGACTTTGGCCTGCACGGTCTTTGAATAAAACTGTTGGGTGCGAAATTCATGAAAAATAAAATACATAATATATATGTATATAAGTATTTAAGCTATTGTTTTTATGCGAGCTAAATCGCCTGCGGATATACTATTATGTAAGTTATTCAGCTGGTCTGTGAATTTTAAGTGCACGCTTCGAGTTTGCCATCCTGAAGATAAGTTTTCCTTAGTTCGCCCACATATATCTCAGAAAATTAGCCGCTCTTATTTAAGCAAGAACTTATTCAATTGTTGCTGACTGTTAACGAATATTTTAGTGATGGAAAAGATGC